GGCTGGGTGGAGGGACGGGGAGAACCGTCCTGCCGAGGGAGCGGGCGGGCGAGGGGGACTTGTGCTCCGGTGCCGGGTCAGGACGCTCCTGCTGCCTCCCCGTTGCGACGCCGTGTTTGTCTTGGTGCGTCTTGCAGAAACGTTACTGCCATCGCTCCACCGCGCTTACGGTTGGTGATGCCATTCCCTGTTGGGTCTTGACGCATCCTTGAAATATCCCTGTCCTGTCGTAATGGTTGTCGTGGCACATCCACGCTTCATTTCCATCACGGGATCCTTGTGGTGACCGCGACGTGGGAAAAGGACGCTGGGAAGACATCGAGGTAGCTGGCTGCTCTGTCGCAGGATCTCAGAACGCCGCTAACCGAGACGACGTCTGTTCGACGGCAGGGCTTCGCTTTCAGGGTATTCCAGCGTTTTGCGTGAGGAAGGTGCCACCTGGCCTGCCTGCCGTCCCATCCGGGATGGTTTGGTCTTCGCTCCCGCCTTTGGTGGAGCACGAAGGGCGCTGCGTTCGTCTGTGCCGAAGCGTTACTTCGGCGCATAGCTGGGCTGACGTGAGGCGCTGAAGCGCCGCCCTGGCACGCTGCGCCGCTTTGCCGTTGTGCGCGCAGGTCTCTGTCTTGGGGGAGATTCAGGAGCCGTCACGGTCTTGCAGAAGAGGTTGGAACTGCAGAGAATCTCTGTTGTGACATCGCAGCAGTGTGTGATTTGGGCGCTGATTTTCCTGAGCAGTGCAGGAGATTACCTGTGTGTCTTGTCCTGCGTTCAGTTCTTGCTCTCATTTTTGCTCTTGCAGATCCGTTTCCATCCGTACCACTTCCCTCTGGCTACAGCTGGAGTTCATAGAAAACGGACCCATGCCAGGTAGTATGGACAAGGCAAAGGAACAAGGAACGCTTCTCGCGCTGAGTCTGAAATACGTGTTAAACTAGCTCAGGAAACCACGTTAGTTATTAAAGCAGTAACACTGGAAAGGGAAACCTTCCCTCTTTTTCCTCACTTTCTTGCGAGAGTGGTTTCATCCTGAAGGGTTTTCTCTGGTAGTTCTCTGGACAAACAATCTGCCTTGCACTAGGAAACAGCTTTGTCAGTGCCAAGAGCTCAGGCTCTTCCTCTGCCTGCATTTTCTCAAAGGTGGCTGTTGCTTTGTTCCGTGTGCTCAAAAACTTGAGTCCAGAATTAAGGAGGGAGTGCCGGAGTCATCCAGAAATACAAATGTGGGAGTGAGTAATTGGTCAACCTCTGTGTAACTTTTGAGAGGAAAGTTATTCTCATGCCTGAGAAGCGGAGACTGGTGGAAGGAAACCAGCTGCTGGGAAACGTAAAGTGAGATTAAAGGAATTTAGTCTCCCTTTTCCCCCCGCCCCGCGATTAAACGGCCCATGGATGTAGGAGTCATTTTCCAGCATCATGCTACGCTGTTAAAATTAATGGAGTTCACCACTGTGCCTTTTCATGGTGACCAAAACCGTCACCAGCAATAGGAGCATCTACACCTTGGCCAAGAACCGTTCTTGACCTGGAGATGCCTGGTAGCGCCTTGGTGTTGCTGTCTTTCTGATGGATGTAATGCTGTTGCGTTTTCTGCCTTCTGTGTGACATTAGGATTTGAGGTGTCAGACCACGACCTTCAAACGAAATACCTCCACATCGCCTGGCATCGGCAATCGGTGTAATCGGGAATATTCTCTCTGTCGTCATTTTCGTATTTAAGCCAAACCTGCCTTTCTCCCATACTCCTTTGACTTTGACTCTTGTTTCTGTGGTCTTCTGGATTTGTAAATAATCTGAGGGATCATTTGGTTTCATACGTGTTTAAATTTGGGTGTGGAATGGGCCGTTTGCTTTGTCTATCACTTGTTTCTTTGCCCAAACGCAGCAGTGCCAGTTATTTTACGGTGACCTCAGCTCGCAGCAGTTCCCTCTTGCTCTAATGTTACGTTACTGCTTTGGGGAAATAAACTCATGATTAGTTACTGAATTGTCATCCTGTCGTACTGGCTGTTACTCTTCGTTTCAGCACCTGATCATTAACATAAGATCTCATCGTTCCTGAAGTATTCTTGACATCTTTTCAAGCCAGCCCATCCACTGCTAACAGTTTCAGTCTTTGTTTTCAAAATCCTTGGCATGCGGCTCCTTATTGATCCCCGTGTGAAGGAGGCACAATCGATATGTAGACCATTGTCTCAGGAAAGAGTTCTGGAGATCGCTCAGGACTAGAGGCAGTAAGCATAGACCTCGCCCTCATCTTTTTCATGAAACTGGGGTTGTTTGCTTGGAAGGATTTGTTCAAGGAGGTTTTTTACTTGGTTGCATTCCAGCAAGGCCCAACAAAGGGGCATTGAGACTTTCCTGAGTTATGAAGCCCTTTCCTGGTATGACTGTCCTCAAAATGGAGGCTGTCCGAATCCTTTCCGTCCCCTTCTTTCATTATCCCATAAACTCCTCCCTTTCCTTCTAGTGTGCACGGTCGCTGGGGTCTGCCTGCAGCCACAGTGGTCTCCGGTGGGGCTATCAGACGCTCGGGGATGGTGAATTGCAGCGCGCGGTGTATTCTCCAGTTGGACTAGAGGCATGCTTTTTTCGCCAGTCCTGCTAGAGGAAGAAGCAAGAATTCCACAGCTGCTTCACAGATCCTTTCCTTTCTTCCCTCTTGGTCCTTCTCTCGTACGGCAGTATCTTCTGCTGCCTTCCAGGCCAACCGTTATCTCAGTGGTAATTCTACTTAGGAAATGACTGCCTCTCTAGTCGTTACGGAATTTGCAATATATGTGGTAGTACCTGAAGGCACCAACTCAGAACCCAAAGTCTGCCGTGGCTTTTTTGGTGTATACTTTGCTCTATTGTTAGAGGATAAATTTTCATGTGAAGCTGTCCTGTGTTTTCTTAAATAAGTTGTAAGAGCCTCATACTGAGACATCGCAGATGTCCCGGCTCCCGCTGAGTAAGTGAGGAGTGCTGGTGCACGGCTGAGACTATTAATGGCTGAGGATCATAAAAAGACGTCGTTGGTGACTGGGGGACTGACGCTATGGTTTTCTTCCGCAGTTGGATGCTCTCAGTCACCCAAAGGCATTGGTTAATTACCTGCTTGCTCCCTGCCTAGGCTGAACTTGATGAACAGCATTTCCATGCCCAAGGAGCAGCAGATGTTCTGGGTTGTTTTCCAGGCCTCAGCCCATACTGCTGCCTGAACTTCTGACCGAGCACTGAATGCCAGAAAGCAGGTGCCTGTTCTCGGTGTCTACCTGTCTCACCCTTTCCCACCTCGCCTGTGTCACTCGCAGTCCTACCAGACTCCTTCGCTGCCCGCTCAGCTCTGAATTTCTTTGCTCGCCCCTTTGAGCCGTCTGGATGTGGTGAGGCATTAGGGAGAAGCCAGCGTGTTCTGGCCGGCTGCTTCCCATTGTCTCTCCAAAGAGTGGGTCAGTTCATAACAATGCTGTGTTCGAACAAGCATGAGGTGTGCATTTAGAATAATGGCTTAGGGTCAAAATTCTTGTTTTACGTGGAAAATGTAAGGCATAAGGATCTGAGGTCTTAAACTGGAGAGAGGATAAATAATTAGTGGAGTGCTGAAGATAAAAAAGATGAAATGGAAGCACCGCCATTTGCAGTTAGAGACTGAGGGGAAGGTGATGAATCCGGAGGAGAGGAGCCCTGGAAGAGCTGCTAAATACACTTGACTAGAGCTCTTTTTGCACAGCACAGTTTCTAATGCTACCCTGTGTGGTTTTTTTGTTAACTTTTGCTTTGAAATTACATTAATTGCATTTGTTGGTGGGGTTATGAGGCTGGAGGCGTGTTACATGTTTAAGAAGAGATGTCTCAGCCTTTTTTTTTCTCTTTTCTTGAAGGCCTCGGTTGGCAGGCAGAGTCCGAGGGTGGTGCCGTACCCAGCCCACAGTCTATGTCCTGGGGAGCCTGGCCTTCAGAGTGCAGCAGGTAGCCACAGTTCAAGTATGTGATCAGCCTGTCTGTTCCCTTCTCCTCCCAACATCGTCCGAACCTGTTGGTTGATCCCCATGCCATTTGACAGAGCAGGAAAGTCTTAAAGATGCCAAAGCTCCTACAAGTGTCCATTTACCCATTCTTGCAATAAGGGGTAATTATCCTAAAAATGCTTCGGGCGAAGGGAAGGCTGTAGTGTGCGTTCCCATGTTATGACGCTAACGAATCCAGTCAAGAGAGAGAGACAAAGATTTGGGAAGCCTTCAGATTCAGCTTTCAGTCAGTTGTAGGACTTGAATGTGCAGAGAACCAGGCTTTGCAATTTAGTGCTCACGGAGTGACTTTTCAGTTGTGTTCCCCAGCCCCTCTCCCTCCTTTCTACCTAATCTCTTCCTCTGGCTTATCGTGGCTGCGCACACTAGCAGGGGTCGTCCCAAGCTTTGTTGCATCTGCAGATTTGGTCCAGGGTGGTGCTAGTATCCCAACTTCTTCTAATCCCTGCAGTTGTGTCAATGGGCTCAGCTGATCATCGACTGAACCTAGCAGAGATCCTTTCACAGAACTATGGTGTACGGGAAGAAAGGGAAGATGATGATGATACTCAGGAGAAGCAGAAATCTTTAGAAGAGCTGGAGAAGACTTTCAGTGCCTCTCAGGTAATGGCAGAAAGGGAGGGGAAAGGAAATTACCTGCTGGATTTTCTTGTTTGCTTTTACAGTACTGGTACCAAAGGTCTTTGTACGAAAGTCTGACTTGCTTGCCCAGCTGGCAACGCGTCCACCCATCAGCAAGTCTTAGGTTTGCATTTGGATAGGAAGGAATGATTTTGACAGCAGGTGACAGCAGTAAATTTTGGAGTCTTCCTCTGCCAAGACGAGGTGGTCTGCGCTCGCCTTGCTGAAGAGCCATCAGCTGTTGGGTGTGTGTCCGTTTCACAGTGGAGGAACCACACAGATGAGGTGATGTGGTCTTGTGGGTGGTCCCTTGGAGGCCTCAGGGGAACACAAAGCGTGTTCTGGAGGACGGAAGCTGTCTCTTCAGGTCAGGCACAAGGCTGAGGGATTTGCTCCTTTCCTTCCTTGGTATAAATACAGTTCTGCTGTCTGGTATCTCTTCACCAGCATGAAATCTGGTATAAAAAATAAGTATATTTTAAAAATGCCCTTGACTGTATTGCTTTGGGGTGAAAGTTTCTGGCTTCTGTATACGTTTGAGAAGAACAGGTTGTGGTGGGTCCCGATAGACCATGCCTCCTCCATTACGCAGCGTTACCCCAGGCAGTTCAGAGCCCCCAGAAGAGCAGAGCTGCCTTGACTGCCTCTGCGTATCTCTGTGTTCACTACAGCTGGTGTTGTACTCGGTGATTGTTCCATTCCTGATGAAGCTTTGTCCTCCTCTCGCTCAGAGCAGTGAAATGCCATTTGAGGAGCTGCTTGCGCTTTATGGCTATGAGGCATCTGATCCCATCTCGGAGCAGGACAGCGAGAGCAATGATATTACTCCGAATCTCCCAGATATGACTCTGGATAAGGTAAGAGCAGCTCTCTCTGCTTGGGTGTATGCTGTTGGCCTGTGCTGTAGGTTACTGTACTGTCTTGGAGCTCGAGATCTAGTAACTCTTTCCAGGTGGGGTTTGATTAATGCCGGGGGAAGAGTTCTGGTGTTCCAGTGAGGAATGCCAGGCGCAGAAATTGAACGTAAAGACTTTAGAGGAGACTGGAGAAAGGATAACTGTTTTAAAAAGAGCCCTGTAAAAACTCTTTATGGAACTTGGGTTACAAGTCTTTACACTGTGGAGAGTCAGGGAAGGTTTGTATCTTCCCAGCTGAAGTCTCCTGTTCTAGCTAAAGTCTGTAGAAAGCTGCCTTTTTTTTCTTTTTTTTTCTTTTTTTTTTTTTCCCCCCTTGCCTTCCACGATCTTTGAGATAATTGCTTTGGGTGGAGCTCCACAGAAAGGACCGCTTGCTTCCATAGGAAGCTACTCTTGGCACTTGCAGAAGTGCTTCTAGGCTAAGGGAGATAATCTAGGGGTGGTGGGGAGCGTGAGAGGGAATCTGTCTTTGGAGAAGCTATGGGAGGGTGAGGAGATCTGCGGATGTGGCCAACTTTGGCCAGAAATGCTTTACTCTAGGCCTCACCCCCCCTCACCCCCCCATATTTTTTTTTTTAATTTAAAAATATTTTTCACTTTCTTGTTGTTGTTAAAAGGAACAAATAGCGAAGGATTTGCTTTCAGGGGAAGAAGAGGAGGAGACACAGTCTTCAGCTGATGATCTGACTCCATCCGTCACGTCCCACGATGCATCGGACCTATTCCCAACCCAGCCTGGCTGTATGTGTTGCTAATTTCTAAGTAATTGGTTTTTACTTAGATGTGAGATGCAGAATAGGGCAAGAATGTTTTTCTTTATTTTGTGACTAAGTTTCCTGACATCGTTTTTTCCACTTTCCTTCTGGGGGCTGCAAATAAACCTGAGCACCAGTGGTTAGGACATGATAGAGCGTAAATGAGCAGTGGGATGAGGAGAGAATTGTCTTTAGCTGTAACTCATAACATTGAGAACGTGAGAGTTGTTTTGCTACCTGCTGTAAGTGCAGTCTGAAAGACCAGTACCTGATCTGACATCTCTAGAAGTGAATAAATTCAGTAGTGCTAGTGGTGCGATATATTGTTCCTAAATATCAGAATACGCAGGAAGCCAAAGTGCAGAGAGAGACTCAGTATAAAGTGATCTTATTCTTTTGCTAGCCTGCAAAATGAAGGAGTCTGAGCTCCCCAGGTTGGTTGGCACCACCCATGTGGCAAGTGTGCAAATCCTTTTAAATAAAAGGAGAAAATTAAAATACGAGTAAGTTGTCGCTGCGGAACATGCTGAAAGTAACTTTAGGACAGAAAACGAAGGGAAGGACAGGGAACATAGAGCAATAGGGGGAAAAAAACCCCAAAACAACAAAACCCCGAAACAAAACCATTTCATAACTACAGATCTTTTCCTTTGTCACAAAGCAAACAATTTCCTTGCTGATGAAGACAAAGAGCCCTGTTCATCTCCATGTGCTTCCTCCATGGCTGAGGACTCAGAGGAGGATTCCATCCCATCCAACGAGTGTAAGAAGGTAAATGATCTGAGTGCATTGGGAAGGGGAGCTAATACAATGCGCCTGAGTCTGAGGAAAGCGTGACACCAAAGCGCTGTGATATTTCCTCAAGAAATTTTCGTTCTTTTATCTTATTTTGCTCAGCGCCTTGCATTTTGTGGAAGGCAGTGGCAGATACAGGTTACAAGAGGGCTTTTTTAATACAATCTTGAAATCCGTATCTGAAATTATCTTCTGGTTCACATACGGAAAATGTTGTTGTGCCTTGATAGATTAAAACTGCAGCCTGTAGCCCTATGAAGTGAAATGCTGTGCAATATTCCCAGCAGGATTCACTGAGGGGGAACCGTCACATGAAAGAGTGGAGCAGACTTCCAAATTCATCCTGGTTGTGAAGGTTGCAGGAGAGCTTCTGCATTTCTTTATCTCCAGCCTTAGCTGCTTGTCATATATCTTTAACATTAAAACTATGTAAATGCCTAAGGTCCCCAAAGTATCATCTGGTTGGTAGTAAATCTTTTTAGTTACCCTATAAAATAGTCAGGGTTCCCTAGAAGTAATAGTGACAGTGGGGACTGCCGATATATAAATCGGCCTCGTGGTGTCGTAGTCCCTAAATCATGAAGTACACCTCAGTGCCTACGTGGAAGCATTTCCCATTTCAATTTACCCACTTCTCTGTGGTGATATTTCAGGAGATCATGGTTGGACCTCAGTACCAAGCCACTGTTCCCATCCTCCACTTAAACAGGCACAGTGAAAAAGGTAAGGCCGCCCGCTTTGTGTCGTGTTTGCTTGTAGGGCTGCTGGCCTGGGCATCTGATGGGGCCCTGGTTCATCAGTTCTGTTCTGTGTCTCAGCGTTGACACCAAAATTTACAGCTACGCCTGAGCTAGCTTTAAACTAGCCTGTTTGCATCAGGCTAGTGATACAGCTGCAGAAGCTCAGTGAAAACTGGGTTGGTGTGACAGGTTTGGAGGAGGGGGTCTCAGCTGTAGCCAAAGAGAAGGAATACCCTTTTGGAGATACTCTAATTTATTTTTCTCTGCTGTCTTCCTTAAGTAGCCAGAGTTATTTTCATTCAGTACTCCCTGGAGCTGATGAGTTTCCAATTTGATAGGATGTCTGCAGAGTGGATGGAGGTGTCTTGATTTGCAGATTGCATCTAATAACCAGTGCAAGCACCAGCTTGTTGAGTTTCTGAGCAAGACGACTAACAGAAAACCACGTCTTTAGAAATCACTTGCTTCCTCCCTAGTTCTTTTATCCCAGCAGACTCTGAGCAAGGAGATAAAAGTTAACAGTGTTGCAGGTACTATTTCAGATTTACCCAGTATAGTTCTAAACTTTTCACTGTTACTGTATCGGTGCTCTCAGCCTTCTGTATTGGAAACCACAGATTTATTGTGCGTTTTCCGTAACCTGTATGTTTGCATCACTGTGAAACAAAAGGAAATTGATAGTAGATCCCAATAGGGATCTTTTATGCCCTGTCTGTAGTGCCTCTGACCTGATTTGAGTAAATCTACAGGGCACGAGAGTTGGTTCCTTTGCCCATAGAAACGAGCTAAGTAGAGAGGGTGCTAATGTTTTTTTTTTTTTATCTGAATAGAAAAATCTCAGTATTTCTTACTATTTTTCTTTATTGCAGAGTCTTTCTTCTTGCTTTCCTCTGTGCTGTTATTTTAGTGAAACATCTCTCTGCACTGTTGTGTGCTGTGTTCTCATGGACTAAGAGCCTTGAAAGCTGAAGGGGGCAAGAATCACTTAGCGATGCAGTGTGCTCTGGCTGTTCTGTGTGGGTGGAGCAGCTCATGGAGGAGTGTTACAAGCTATCACAGGGGAGGGACAGCCTTGCACCTGCTTAGTTTTGTGTCTAGGACAGGGAGAGGATCTTGAGTCTAGGCCAGGGTTGTAGCTCAAAGCTGCCTTTGCCTCCCACTCCTTTTGTGTGCTGGGAAAGACACCTGAGAACCTAGAGTTTTTTAGGTGCCAGGATTAATGAGTCAAACCAACAATCTTTGAGAATGTGGTATCACAAACCTTGTCAACCAACCCCTCTGAAGAAGTAGAAGCAAGCTGAGCCTGTGCTTAGGACTCTACAAGGGGTATAAAGAGTATTAAGCTTACCTGCCTCCGAAGTCGTGAGGGGAAAATGCAGTACCTTCAGAGATGGTTGTCATCTCTGGTACCAGGTTGATGTAGCAAGCGAAGATTTCCTCCCTCCTTCTGTTTCTCCCATGCACATACATGCAGGCTGTTTCTCAAAAGCAGCAGAACTCTCTGTTTGATTAGCTTATTTCAGTACTTTTTATGCTAGCCTATGAGAATGAAGATCAGCTGCTTTGGGACCCAAACATACTCCCTGAGAGAGAGGTTGAAGAGTTCCTGTACTGTGCAGTGAAGCGGCGATGGGACGAGCTGTCTAGCAGCAGCCTGCCAGAAGGAGAGGTGGTGAAGGACAATGAACAGGTAAGCACGAGGGCTTCTTGCAGCCTGCAGATACTCAGATGCTGCTGGCGTAACAGTGCAGCGTTTCCTATAGAAATCCTGAGACATCCACTTAAAAGAGAATGAGACCTAACTCCAGTGATCCTCCACTCCTGCTTTGTGGATAAGTGATGGTGTGCTGCTCAGTTGCGGCCTCGGAGGCTGTTGGGAAGACAGGAAAAGGCTGTAGTGGATTGGACTACAGGCCTTCCTAGCTTAGTACTTTTCTTCCAACACAGTAATGGATGTCTGTGAAAAGCGTGTGACAGGCTAGGCAAGCAGAGAATGGGTACTGTTTGGTCTGTATTCTCCCAGTATCCTAAATTCTCTGAGCCAGAGCTTACAGCAGGAACATCCTTTTGGATCTGTCCTCTGAAGTATTGTCTAATTTTTCTTTGAAGCCAGCAGAAGATTGAACATTTGGCTAAGAACCTTCAGAGCAGTTGTTTCCTCTAAGCTAGATGGGTTAGATTCTCACAGTAAGTCTGCAGGAACACAGAGGCACACCTGTAATCTGCAGAGCTGCTGGCAGAACTGCATCTTTTCAGTCCCAGGGTTTGTAGTCCAGTGCCTTGAAAAGTGGAATAATCTGTGCTGATGGGTTAGTGACAAAGTGGCTCCTGGGAAAAATAAGTTTTATGAAGCAAATGTGAGTCATGAGCAGGTTGGTTTGTGGTATGCTGCTCAGGTACGTGCTGTCAGTAATTTTCTTCTGTTTCCTAGGCTTTGTATGAACTGGTTAAATGCAACTTCAATGCAGAAGAGGCACTGCGGAGGCTACGGTTCAACGTGAAGGTTATCAGAGGTGAGAACCTCCTGTATTTGGGTCACCAAGGCACATGTAACTCTTTCTAGATTTGTACATCTCCTCCAATTCCTATTTCTTTCTGCTATAGATGAGCTTTGTGCCTGGAGCGAGGAAGAATGTAGAAATTTTGAACATGGCTTCAGGGTCCATGGGAAAAACTTTCATCTTATCCAAGCAAACAAGGTAAGGGCACTCACCCCTGCATCCCACTAAGACAAAGGGAAGGAGGCACGTGTGTTTGCACCAGAGGTATGTTTTGAGCCTTGGCTAATGCAGGAAGTTCAGGACTGCTGAGTTCCCATCCCAGGCTTTGTGTTGACTCATGCTAGCAGGTGATGGGCTGTTCACTGCCCTGCTCTGCCTTATTTTCCAGGTGGGAGAAGTCACAAACAACACTGACCTGCATGAGTGATGTCAGTTAATTACTGATTAGCCCTTTCTGGAGTCTCAAAAGTTCTTTCCAAACTCTCAGCCCTTGCAGTACTTCTGTGAATGAGTGAGTTGAGCATGTGGATGTTTTGTAAAGTCCCCTGGGGTCCTCTAGAATGAAAGATGCTGTTGTAGGGAGAGCTGGGCCCCAGGACATACGCTGCTGTGCTGGGAGTTGGCAGAACCAGAGAGTCCAGTTCTATCGCTGATTATTTGTGGGCATGTTGATGCTAGCCAGTGAAAATGGATGCAGGTTTGCTGTCTTGATGTTAAGGGTGCTACTGGAGGCGCAGGAAAGTCCTGCACGAACGTACCGTGCGTGAACCCACACTGGGGTCTGCAAGAACAATTGTGCACTGTGGGGAGCTCTTTCTCTGGCCGATTACCACCTTGAAAATCTCTGTACGTGCTTCTGTTCTGCAGCGTAGATGTGTCCATAGCAATATAAATTACTGTAACACACTTAATTTTCTGTGCCGATTAAATGGGAGAATAGTCCTTGCTCCATGAGATACATCTTGATGCGTGGCTTTCTGACTGCGATGTTTCTCCCCAGGTCCGCACCCGGTCAGTGGGCGAGTGTGTGGAATATTACTACATGTGGAAAAAATCAGAGCGCTATGACTACTTCACTCAGCAGACTCGTTTAGGAAGGAAGAAGTACGTCCTCCACCCTGGAGCCACGTGCGTGGAATATTCTCACACTAAAATTAGTAATATTAACCTTCCAGTGAAGATTCCTCCTGCAAAGCACCTCCGCTTAAAAGACTGCGCTTTCTGCTCTAGAAGGTTTCTTGGGTGGGAGCACGGAGGGATGCACTGGATGTTCTCACAACATAAACACTGTTAGCGTGGGAGGGAAGATAAAGCAATTATTTGCTTGGATGTGGACTGTTTTGTTTCAGACAAATGTGTCCACAAAAGTTAAGGCTAGAGTCTGGAATTCAGGACTGAGATGAGGAAATAACTCGGTTCAATGAGGTTTCGAGAAGGGAGTTTAAGTTCTGTTTCTGGTGTTTTGGAGTCTGAATTAATGTATTTCCCTGCTGCCACCCTTTGAGGCAAATTCTTTGCTTTGAAATGCCTGCTAATTGCAGAAAATACTTTTCAAAAAGGTTGACACTGAAATGTTTAAAAGGTCAAAATGAAATATTTGAGTTAAAAACATTAGGTGAAGTCTTAGATTATTTGGTTTTTTAAATTCTGATGCAAGACAGGAAAATACCTGAAATCTCAAACTCCTCCAAGGCGGTAAAATATTTTCTCATCACTTGCTCTTTGCTGGCACGTTAACGCTGTCACAGCCCACTGCAGTCATTCTGTGAAGCTGGCTGTTCCCTGGGGAGAGCATTTGACCGTTTATTTCATTACGAAAGGGGCTGGGGCTCAGAGAGAGCTGCGCAACAGAACTCTCTGTTTTGGAAAGCTACAGAGCCCATTCTGGTTTGTCAGGGGCTGGTCTCCGCCACGCTGAGTTAACTGCAATCCCCTCAGTGCAGAGTCCTTCTGCAGACCAAGAAGGGATGCACGTTCATTCTAGTGAGGTCTCTACAGTCCTGTTGCTTTATTTGTTGATGGGGTTTAATCCCAGTAACCATTTTCCTTCTCTGCAGCTCTCTGCTTAACAGGTGGTGGCAGTGCTATCTGTCTTTTCCCACAGGGATTACACTGACAATGACTTGGATGGAGGTGAAGTAGAAAACACCAGTCGTTCTCGGAGCTCCCCACCAATTCCCTCTGCAACTGGCTGCCTGGATTCTCACTTTGGTCAAGATCAGCTAGCAATAGAGAGCACAGGTAACTTACTTTTCTTCTGTCTGCCATGGGGATAACTCGTCTCCCTCGCTCAGCAGCACAGACCCTCCTTTGCCCTTCTCCCGTTGCCGTTATCCAGCTGTTGCTCTTCTCCCCGCGCCTTGCCAGTGTGCTCACTTTGTGCTGTGTCAAATACCAGCCCTGGGCAGATTCTGGTGTGAGCAAAGGAGATTTGTCTGTCTCTACATTGACCAGTAGTGACTTCAAATGAGTCGCTCCTGCTTCGGGCTCAGAGGGGGTGGCCTAAGTCATTCCCAAAGCAAAAGGATTTGCACTAACTTTGGGCACCTGAGTTAGGTGCTTGCACTAGCACACAGACACACCAGACACAGGCAACTCCTCTGGAGGCTGATTTAAGACACCAGAAATCAGGCTGTACCTGCGAGCTCCTTTTGGAGAGAGCTGGCTGTGAGAAGGCTCACGGGGAGCCCGAAATGGGTTTGTTCCCTCACGGTCCTACCGCAGAGGTGGGCTTTGTGCAGGCACCTCCCAGGGGCTGTCCGTGTGAGGGGATAGGACTTGGGATTTGGCTTATCTTGGAGTGTCTCTGTGAGATTTCCTTTAATTTCCGTGGAAACACTGATGGCCTCCCATCTGCTGTCTCCATCTTGCCTGTCTTTGGGACATGCTGGCAGGGATCTTGGTTGCGATAATAAAGTAGCGTTTGTGCCATCAAACAAACAGTGTTGTGGTTAGGTGGGATTGAACTGGATTTTGGGTTTGATTTTTTTAATGTTACAGACTCACTCGAGCTTTCTTTCACTTGCTGTCCCCCTCCCTTTCTTCCTCTCTGTCTGCCCATCTCCCATGTTTCCCTCCTTTGTGGTGTGCACAGAACCCCTGAGCGTGGAGAGCACAGCCTGCAGCCTGGGCAGCATGAGTGAATCGGGGCAGGGCTATGAGTGCAGTACTCCTTCAGAGACGAATTGTTCCTTCGACCCTGCGGAGGAGACGTCCACGGGCGCCATCTCTGCTTCCTGCACACGAGACACTGTCACCCCCTCGGAATCGGGGCTCTATGCTCTGCCGCCGGCAGGACCAGGACTAGTAGAGAAGCAGGAGATGTTGCAGAGCTCTGGTGAGACGATAACGATGGACTTCACTCTCCCTGCAGACATTAATGAGGATTTGCCTTTAATTGCTGGCCCTGTGGATTTGGACAGACACCCAGAGGCGGTGGTGGCCCCTGCGCAAGTGTCCTTATCGGTCACAGATTTTGGCCTCATTGGCATCGGAGATGTAAATACTTTTCTGACTGCTCACCAGGCTTGCCCAGCACCTGTGGCTCGGTCAGAGCCTTTGTCACAGTGAGTCTCCAGTCACAAACTTGTCACAGACCCAGCAAGGACTTTGACCTGACTGAGTGAAATCCTGGAACTTCCACTGTTCCACAGGGACGGTTTGGAGCTGTTGGTCAGAATCCGTCTTTCCATCCTCCTTGATCCAAGGCTACAGTGAAACCAAACACCTTTCTGCTCCGGTGTGTTCTGACACAATCACACAAAGCTGGTGGCTGGCTTTAGTGAGAGGGGAGGCCCATCGCCCCCTGTTTCGTTGACCATATGTCACCCCAGGTAATTCCAGGCTGTTCAGAGAGTCCCTGCCCTCGGGACCGGGGAAAGTCCCTTGGCCCCAGTGGGACAGTTTGAGTGCAGAGATGCTTTGAGAACAGGGACGTATCACCGGCATGTCGGGGGCAGGGATGGAGGGTGCAGTCTGGAGGTCTGAGAGCTTAGGAAATCCGCAGGGAGCGTGGTCCACCCGGGCTGCAGGGCAGTTTGCCTGCACAGAGGGGCATGGCGATGCCAAAGGACAACGAGGAGTCTTGGCCCTTCACCCACAGATTGTTGCGATAAGTCGTTCTCCCTGTTCCCCTCCCAACAACTCCCCTGCACTCCCCAGCTGTGAGTTGTGACAGGCGTGCACACTGTTTTCACGTCTCTCGCAGCTGTGTGTGTGTTCCCCGCTCGCTCCGCCACCAGTTGCAGGTGGGATGTGGCCTGGTCCAGCCCTCTGGCAGAAGCGTCAGGTCTTGGAAAGGGATACGGCGTGGTGCGGCAGCACTGTGCACCAAAGTCCTTCTCACCTCTCCTTGTAGTGCTGGGCGGCGGCGAACTTGGACTAAAGGGAGTTTCTAGACCCACAGAGCGACGTTGGCCCTCGGAGTGCTGCCGCTTCCGTTACTGGCGGTGAATGACTTGATCCTTGCTGACCGCTGCAGTACAAGAGGGTGAAATGCAGATGGGAACATCTGTAACTCCCCAGCTTGTTCAAACAATTTGTCAGCTGCAGGAGGAGGAGGAGGTTGCTCAGTTCCCAGGGCACCAAGGCTAGTCACCAAGTCACCAGCGCTAGCACAGGGTACCCCTGCCCCCTTCTCTGTCACAAAAAAAAGCTCTTTGCTGAAAGTATGTCTTTTGCTGCCGCTAGCGATGGTTTGAGGAGGTGACAAAGGTGGCCCTGCTTGGCAACGAGGTGGCCAGCTGCTGTGCGGAGAGCCACAGTGGCACGTTTGTGGGTGTGCTGGAGTCCAGAGCTGCTTCGCTTCCCGGGTGTGTTCCAGGTCTGGGGTTTGCCACTGGCTTAACTCCACATGTTCTCATTCCCCTTTTTTCCATGCAGGGAATGCTGTCTGCTGGGCAAGGCTCTGATACAGATGTTCCTTCCTCCAGCCATTTTCTGCATTTGGGAAGGGGTTTGGGTTGAGGTTTTTTGCTTGTTTTGGTAGAGGCCTTCGGGCAGTGATCCTGCAGCTGCTTCTGCTGCCGGAGGATTTGGAAGATGACTAAAACCACGAGCCCCGGATCCTCCTTCTACCCGGCCCTGTGAAGTTGCGCTCAGCCCTGCAGTGGGAGCACGGAGACAGCATTAGGCAGCTTCGCAGGATGGCGGGATCAGACCTTGTCTCTCACCTTCCACGCCCCAGACCTGTTTTGGCTGCGTTAGCAGGGGTTTGCTTCAGTGCTCGGCCAGCTCTGCTAAGAGGCGCTGAGCCCCAGATGCGCACAGCTGCCTTGACCAGGCACCACTTTGTCAGCCAGACGTGGTAACTGGAGGTCTCCCCTCTGGCTGCTCCCAGTTGCTGGAAACGGAAAGCAAATACGAGTGCCCGCTCCATAGTGGAACTGCCCAGGCTGTGATTCCCCTTTTCTGGGGGGGAGAGGAAGCTCCTTGGCTGACGGGAGAAGAGGAGGCAGGGTGAGAGCACGGGCAGCCCTCCCAGGGAGGGCCAGGCCTTGGCATCTCCTCTCCATCAGCCAAGAACATTCTTAGTTTTCCTGAAACCATTTTTTTCTTTGGTTTGTTTCAAGCCCTAATGAAAGGAGAGGGGAGGCTGGGGGAGGCAGAAATGTCTCTTATTTATGTTCTTCAGTGTTGTTTACAGATGCGCATGGGGTCTTTCAACATGAGTGCGGCGCTTTTTCCACATAACTTTTAAGGGAGAGGGGTGGAAAGGGCTGGGACAGGGAGGGGGAGTCACTTGGGGAGGAGATTTGGTTTTGGTTTTTTGTTGGGGTTTTCTTTTTCCTTCTTACAAAGCACATTCACTTTG